CAAACAGCGTTGGAAGGGACCTTGTAGGTCATCTAGTCCAACCCCCTGCCTAAGCAGGAGACCCTACACCATTTCTGACAGAGGGCAGTCCAGTCTCTTCTTGAAAGCCTCCAGTGATGAAGCTCCCACAACTTCCATTCCATTCCATTCCATTCCATACCATACCATACCATACCATTCCATTCTGTTGTGTTCCGTTCTATTCTAATTGCTATTCTAATTGCTATTCTATTCTATTCTATTCTATTCTATTCTATTCTATTCCATTCTATACTATTCCATTCTATTCTATTCCATTCTATACTATTCCATTCCATTCCATTCCATTCCATTCCATATATTCTATTCTGTTCTGTTCTGTTCTATTCCATTCCATTCCACTCTTTAACAGACGGACAAACAGCATTGGAAGGGACCTTGTAGGCAAGAGACCCTACACCATTTTTGATAGCTGGCAGTCTAGTCTCTTCTTGAAAGCCTCCAGTGATGAAGCTCCCACAACTTCTATTCTATTCTATTCTATTCTATTCTATTCTATTCTATTCTATTCTATTCTATTCTATTCTATTCTATTCTATTCTATTAATTCTAATTCTAATGATTCCATTCCACTCCACTCTTTAACAGACAGACAGAGTTGGAAGGGACCTTGTAGGTCATCTAGTCCAACCCCCCGCCCAAGCGGGAGACCCTACACCGTTTCTGACAAATGGCAGTCCAGTCTCTTCTTGAAGGTCTCAAGTGATGAAGCTCCCACAACTTCCGAGGGCAACTTCTGCTCCATTGGTTAATTGTTCTCACTGTCAGAAAGTTTCTCCTTATTTCTAGGTTGAATCTCTCCCTGATTAGTTTCCGTTTGTTGCTTCTTGTCTTAACGTTGTGGTCTATACCTGTAAGCCCAGATGAAACTTCTTTTCAGACTATATACAGCTAGTCCTCAACATGCAGCCACAATGGAGCCCCAAATTTAAGTTGTAAAGTGAGACATTTGTTAAATAGGTTCTGTCCCATTTTATCATTTTTCTTGGCGAGACAAAAATTTTCTTCCTGTACATTTGGTCCTCGACATCCCACCACAATTGGGCTCAAAATTTCCATTCTTAAGCGAGTCGTTTGTTCATTGAGTTTTGCCCCATTTTTGCGACCTTTCTTGCCACAGTCATTAAGTGAATCACCACTGTTGATAAGTTAGTCACATGGCTGTTAAGCAAATCTGGCTTCCCCATTGACTTTGCCGGTCAGAAGGTCACAAAAGGGGATAACGGAGAAGAGATAATCAGAGTTGGAAGGGACCTTGTAGGTCATCTAGTCCAACCCCCTGCCCAAGCAAGAGACCCTACACCCGTGATAGGGAACCTATGGCACGCATGCCACAGGTGGCACGCAGAGCCATTTGTGCCGGCACACGAGCTGCAGGCAAACTTACCACACTGGGCATGCGCGCGCCTCACAGCTGATTTTCGGCCAGTTTGAGGCCTTTTTCGGCCTCCCAGAGTCTTGAGGAAGGCTTCTGCAGGCTTTGCAGGCCGAAAACTAGCCCTGTTTCATCATTCCCGGTATTTCCGTAAAAACAGGAAGTGACGAAAGGGGGCTAGTTTTCGGCTAAAAAGCTTGCCGAAGTCTGCAGAAGCCTTCCTCAAGCCTGTGGGAGGCCGAAAAAGGCCTCAACCAGACAGTGCACATAAGGGGTTGGCGGGGAGTGGGTGGGGGATTGCGCATGTATGCATAGGTGGCGTGGGGGGGGGGCGCATTGCCTTCTGGGCAGAGGAGCCCCAAAAGGTTAGCCACCACTGCCCAACACCATTTCTGACCTATGGGAGTCCAATCTCTTCTTGAAAGTCTCAAGTGATTACGTGACCCTGGGGGCGACTGTCATAAATATGAGTCAGTTGCCAAGCGCAGGCAAGATATTCTTCCGATTAAAATCGGAATTCTGATTTTTTGGGGAATCGCCCCCTCCTTTCCCCCCACCCCTTCTTCTCCTCCTTCCCCTCCCCTTGGAGGCCCCGAGTCAGGAGTTGCTGGCGCGGCTCCGCGCGGCTCCAGTCCTGCGTTGCCTCAGGAAGGGAAAGGCAAAAAGGAAGAGCCGCGGCGGCGCTTTGCAATGGCAGCAGCGGCTCCTGGTTTTGCCTTTCCATTCCCGAGGCAACGCGGGACTGAAGCCGCGTGGAGCTGCGCCGGTGGTAGCAACTCCTGACAGCCCCAGCCGGATACCTGAGCGGAGCCCGGGCGGTGCGAGTGGAGGCCGCTGAGCGGCAGGAAAAGGGAGCTGGGCAGCCACAGACCAGCCTCCGTGCAACATGCCACCGCCCGGCCCCGGCGAGGGAAAGCAGCGGGCGCTCCCCGGGCACGCGGCGGGGGGTCTCTTGGCCGGCCCCGATTTTTTTTTTCAGAGCGGAATATCATGCCTGCAAGCGTTTGAATAAATTTTTTTTCATTTTTAGTTATTTTTTATTATATATTAAATGCCAAGCATCTGAATTTTGACCACAGGACCATAAGGGAGGCCACAACAGTCGTACGGGCTGAAAAAAAAAAAAAAGATCCTAAATTCCATTGTAACTTCGAGCAATCAGGAAAAAAAAACTGGTTGTAAGTAGAGGACCACGCTAAAACGAAGCGGTTTCAAAAGTCAAAGAGAAGTGCCAGTCTTTTGTAATTTCGTGCAAAAACGTAGTGACTCATTCACGCTAAGTTGCTTGCTGGTTTCGGGAGGTGAGAATTTTTTTAAAAAAAATATACAGGCGAATGAATGTGTTTGGCAAAGGCGCCGCTCACCGTGGATTCAATCCGCTGAGTGAAATTTTTTACTCTAACCAAGTTTTTTTTTTAATCAGAAGGGAATATTCTCACCCTGTTTATGTTGGAATATTTGATGCGTTGGCCTGGAGGTGGAGCTCTCGCCTCCAATCAGGAGGCTGGGAGTTGGATCCTAGGTAGAGGGCAGGTATTTCTCTCTGTGTTCTGACCCAAACCTTGTTCCAAGGAAGCAAACACCAAACAGAGATAAAAGCAAAACCTTTTAATGCTTCTCTGCAAATTCCATTCATTCACGGTTAAAAGGCTATTAAAACTAATAGTCTCTGATAAGAACTAGCCTTGCCAAGGTGCTGCCAAAAGCACTAGATTAAGTTGCCAAGAAATATTTCAAACACAAAGAGTCTCCAAACACCAACCAAGATACTCCGAACTTCCACAAGGCTTGAAGTGCAAGAACTTCTTTGCTTCCTGCAAAGAACTATGGTTTCTCAGCTGGCTTTTATCTCTTAAGGGAGGGGCCATTTCCTTGCAGCCTTACTCCCGAGTTGCCCGTGCTGCTGCAGCTGCTCTGTCCTACGAGCAGCCCTGTGCACACGCGTGCTGGGCACAGGCTCCTCGGGATCCTCTTCCTCACTGCTGCCAGCCTCTACAATCTCTGAAGGCCTCATTCCACTCCCTGATGGTCCTGGCCCCATCCCTGCCTCACACGCAGGCCCCTCATCTGAGTCCTCGCTCTCCGAGACCTCACCTGTCTGCACCTGCTGCCGGCGAACCACAACACTCTGGCCACGATGAGAATGTGTCTGCTGAATGAAACTCCGCATTGGTGACAGGAAGGGCATCCGGCCAGTAAACACTCAGCTCCATTCAGTTTTCCAGACTCCACCCCTCAAGGGATTATGGGGGTCAGTAAAAGAAGATGTTGATTTATGTTGGAATTTTTAATTTCCCATTTGCAGATTCCTTCTATCAGTTTCTGGGTGGGATTTAGACCATTAAAACCAATCAGAACGGAGCTTGAAGGGACCTTAGTGGTCTTCTAGTCCAGCCCCCTGCTCAAGCAGGAGACCCTATACTTTTTTTCAGACAAGGTTGCAATAGGATGCCTAAGACCCATGCTTCTGCAGGAAGTTCTCGACTTACGACCTGCAATGGAGCCTGAAATTTCTACGGCAAAACGAAACACTTGTTAAGTGAGATTTCCCCCCCCATTTTACAACTGTGATTCTTGCTACAGTTGTTAAGTGAATCGCTGCAGTTAGTAACATGGTTGATAAGAGAACTTGGCCTCCCCATTGCTTGTCAGAAGGCCGTAAAAAATAATAATGACATGACTACAGGACACTGCAGCCGTCATAAATAGGAGTCAGTTGCCAAAGCATCGGACTCTGACTCGGAGGAGGAAGCAGAACAGCTGACAGGGAGTGGGAGTGTGGCTCCGTTGGCTGTGGACAAAACTGGGGACGGGCAAAGTCCGGCTGGGCAGAGCAGGGGAGAGGTAGAACAAGGGAGAGGGAGTTCAGAGGAAGACCCAGGCCCACCCCCTCTTCATCCTAGGGCACGCAGGGAGGAACGGAGAAGGGAGAAAGGTGGGTTGCATGGCTTACAGGGGAGGAAAGAGCCCTGATTCCCTTCATTAGCTGCAGTTGGGAACACAGTGTATAAAAAAGGCAAGCTATGCGCAGCAGGCTGTTGGGAGCAAAAGTGACTTTATCTTGTACCGTGGAGGCTTATCTGTGTTCCTGGCATCTTCCCAACTGTGTGAGTTTTGCCGTGCTTTTAAGTTTGAAATTCCTGCTCCTGCTCTGCCAAACGAATTACTTCAGTTTGGTCTGTTTGGATTTTAAGTTACAGTTTGTGTGTACGGCTGTGTGACGAAGTCCTGCACGCATTCACTTTGAAGCTGTATTTACACGTTTAATCAACTTTTCACTCATAGAAACCACGCAAAATTAGTACTTTTGATGAAAATTTCTGTAGTCGGATTGAGATGCATAATTTTTATTCATACAACCAGGGTCTTTTTAAGGTTTTGAGTGAGTTTATGTGTTAAAACAAACACAACTTGAATTTTCGAGAATGTTAAGGATCGAAAGTAGCCAATCGGCAGCGAGCTGTGGCTGACCAATCAAAATGCCCAGAGGCTAAATCTATGAGCCAATCAATGTTGTCATACTCTCTGACTATAAATAGGCATGAAAAGCATTGAGAAATTTAATATAACTCTGGCTGCGGGCAAGGATGAAGGCCTTTGCTTTCGCCAGCCCTGAGCAGCGGCATCGCATCATTGTGCTTCATGAAGAGGGTTACTCCTGTGCAGAAATAGCCAAGAGACTGAAATGCCTTCGCACCACAGTGAGCAGTGAGGCTGAAAAATACCAAATAAGTGGTTCTAGTTGATGACAGGCTCTGCTCTGGAAGACCAAGAAAGTCGACAAAACAGCAAGATCGGGCTCTGCTGTGCATTTCGATGGCTGACAGGAAGTTCACCTCACCTCATATTACAAGAATTTGGGGGTGAAACCTGTGATGTAAAAGTGTGCACAAGCACAGTGCGTCGCAGGCTGTGCTTGCCAGGGGGCTAAAAGGCTGCAGGGCTCGAAGTAAACCTAATGTCAGCCTCAAGATATCTTCCTAATAAGTATATTCTGTCTTCTAACTGTTGCTTCTCTGCTGCTATGCCAATTTACTTCTTTCGGCTGTCATGAAACGGTGGGAGGGGGGAATCTTGGAGGGGAAGAAGGCAGGAGGTGTTTTGCATTCCTTTGCTGGGTTAGCAAGGGGAGGGGGGATTCCTTTCTTTAACTTTCCATTTCCTTGCTAGCCTCTGTCCCTTTTTGCGCAACTGCGAACTTTTATCAAAA